AAAAAAAAAAAAAAATTAGGCATTTAAGCAATTAATAATATTTAGACAATCAATAATAATAAAAATAAATAAGCAATGATAAATATAATAAATAATTCTAAATAATTCTCAAATAAACAGGGCATTACAGCAGTGCTCATAGACTGATGTTGATGTTGAAGTACATTTGACAAAGATGCCAAGATATAACACTTCGCCATCTCGTCAGCCTTTTTCCACCGAGCATACTTCTCTTTCTCTTTGTCTAGTGCATGTCAGCAGGCACAACTGGACAAGCCTCAATAGTAGCAAATTTGTACCCCTCAGCAGTTAACACAATATCCAAGTTCCTTTTCCAGTCAATATAATTAGGACCAACAAGTTTGTTTTCTTTGAGAATTACAGACAACGGATTGAAAGACAATTTGAGTTCCTGGGATCATGCAAACAAAGTCTTTACTTAGTCAAGTACTTTTGAATTTAAACATTAAAATTTGATCCCATGTAACAATATTGAAATAAATTCACCAACACCTCAAAGCACCGAATACCTGCAGACGACGGAGTGTGGACGTCTACGGTTCAAACATTCGCAAGAGGAGGGATAAATCCCATTAGCTTAATATACTGCCAAGCATTACTTAACTAATAGTCGGTCAATCTTTTGTCCAGCGTAATTAACTTATGAAAGAGTAAAAACGACCTTTTCCTTTTGGAATATCGTAATTATTTGCACTTTTAAGTGCAACCCATTAATTGGTCCTAAGGTTACTACCAAAATTATACGTCCACCTTTGGGTGACCCGTACGCTTTTGAAATAGCTCACTATGACCATCCCGAAGGAGATTTGTCCTTGTGAACAAATATAACGTCCTTTGAGAATCGAATTAAATCACTTCACTGACAAAACAATAATTGAGGCCTTGGATGTAATTTATTTCAACCCACTACACACTTAATATAATTTTTGTTTTATGGAATTTTCCTAAACATGCTCCTAATGATCCGGTTTGCACATAAGCATACAAATCACATAAGAACATGCATGATTGATAAGCAATACAAAACTAGGAATTATAATCCAACTATCATGGCCATTAATCAATCTCCAATGTTACGGAGAAATCACAAACCTGTCCTTGTTGAGTGTGTCCTCCGATTCAGGTATTGGAACTCCCCTTTTGCAATGACTGTCACTCTTCATCTTGAATTGGTACGAACCCTGTTATAGGCATATTTATTCATGTTGAATTGGTCATCTCTGGTAAAGTCACCATTGCATCATCACCATGGCATCCGCGTACGTGTTGATCGCTTCACCCCGTCAAGGTTGGTCCATGCCCGCCGGATCAATAATGAATAATATAAACAACAATTACATAATTCATCTTATGACCCACGCAGGAGCCATACATGAATTTTCTATGAAAGCAATAAACTATGCAGTATCCCACCTTGCGGATAATTTATTACAAGCATTCACCAACCCAAAAATTCCTCGACATGTCTGAGGCTTAGAAAACAACATACATTCAACATAAACTAAATCAATACATACGTGCCACAATAGTCGGATTCAAAATCTCCTACAACAAACTTCATTGCAATTTCTAATCTACTATGTCGCCGCATCCGTACGCTAAAAAATCATGTAAACAGGCAAAGTCCAAATTCAAACTATGCACGAGGTTGAATTAAACCATGGCTCTGATAACAGTTGTTGGGTTCTATGAGGAACGTCAAACAACATGCACAGTATTGAACTTATCAAAATAAATCCTAACGCAGCGGAATCTATAGTAAGCATATGGACATTTACCTTTTAAAATTTTTGCCGACTCAGAGACGATGTAGAATACCGTTGAAGAAGTTCGTCTGATTACCAAAATCTAAGGGTGTAACAGCCCACTTTGATTTTAAAGAAATTTCGAACTTTCCAAAAAACAGTAAACAATTTTTCGAACTCATTTTCAAAAATATGGGCGTTATATAAACATTTAACATTAACCAAGTCATATCTGATTGCTCGGGGATTCATTACCCGGTTTTTCACATGGTTTTCATTAACCTGATATTCAATATAAGTTATTCAGCACATAAACGAAGGCATGAAATAACCAAAACATCTGATAACCAATTCACATTATGTTCATCAAAACATCCCAAAAATTCAACATACTCAAACAGGAGTTTTCAAAACAGTTTTGATGTCTTAACCCAAAACAAGGTTTCACACCAAAGCATTTCTTCATATGCGAAAGCATAAATAATCAGAATCATAAGACCGACCCACTCGTCTTTTCTCGTCACCCTGCACCTGCTTAACCTGCATCCGTGAAGAGCAGGTGGGGATGAGCACAAGATGAAAATGCGTGCTCACCACTATGCACATATATCACAATAATAAGTAATGTAAAGAAGGTATGGTTACAGTATGAACATAAAACAATTATTCTGTCACGTCTCCTAATCACATCACAACATATTACCCACGTTTACACATCTTTCATTAGCCAAGGAAAGGGGATTCATTACCCTAACTCATGGGGGTACGTGTCATACAACAAGACACGGCTTTTCATTAGGTCTTACGGAGACCTACCTCGCATGGTAACCGTATTACATCGACGGGGACAACCGTGCCGACGGCCGAATCGGCTCACGCCGATAGGCTACATGGTTTACATACATACTCAAATCTTAGCAAGTCAA